AACTTTAACCAACGGGCTAAGGGAAAGGTAACTCCCTTTTTGGTGGCAATGAAACGACCATGTGATTCTACTAGATGACGGATGTGAACGTACATCTCCCCCTTGAAAGGCATGACGGTGAGGAATAAGTCATTAAATTCGTCCAAACTTATCCTACATCTTGGCTCTCGAGAATGTTGATCAGTTTTCTTTGCTCCGTTTAAGGAACCTCTTCTTTCTTTAGTACTAATGACTAATGATCTTGCCATGGCCAACTTCTTTTCGTACTCAGTCTTTGTGTCATCATCTTTATTTATCAGGAGTCGGGATAAGTCGGCTTGATTGGCTTTCATTAATGCCGTTCTAAGTCCCATAAATGCCCTTGAACCTCTGCGTAAAATGATGCTGATCAATTTTCTGCTTTTGTCATAGTTGGTTTTCTCTGCGTCTATCTGTTGTCTCATTTCATCGGTAATTATATTTGAGGCGTAAAGATGTCCTGCAACAGGAACAGCCAGCATCTTCTTCACCAGTGTCGAGTAGTTTGCCTTAATAAGGTCTTGATGTTTTTGTTCCATCTCTCTTGAAAATCTCAGAAGGTGAAAAGGTATTGTATCCTCTTTCTCTGAGACTTGTTCAGAACTAATGAAACTTTTTCAAAATTTAATCCCTTTATAAATGGTTTAAATCACGTGGCTAATGACTGTAGACTCCTGAATTTTAAAACGCACTGACTGTATAATGCACTGTTTTGCCATGCATGTATTGACTGTATAACGATCTGAATGTAGACAGTACTACTTTATACACATACACACCCATTTATTACGTCATCTTTACTATAGAAACTTTATAGTCTTTAATTTTTTCAAGTAAATGAGGTGAAAACAGGGTTTCTGCTTGATTGATTCTCCTCTTGAAATGAGCCCTATCTACAGCATACTGCATCCAAATTCCTTTTCTTTCTTCATAAGGAATCAATTTAATCTGTACGTGATCATCAAATCGGACACTTTTTGGCAACGTTTTTGTCCCCCGCTTGAAAAGTGGGGGATATTAATTTGGGTTTGTCCGTCCGTCCGTCCGTCCGTCCGTCTGTCCGTCCGTCCCTCCGTCCGTCCGTCTTTCTGTCTGTCTGTAACGCTTTCGTTTCCACACGATATCTCAAGAACCCTTTGAGCTTTTGCAATGAAATTTAGCATAGCAACTCCCTGTGGCCTAAGGAAGACCCCTATTGATTTTGAGGTCAAAAGGTCAAAGTTCAAGGTCATAAATAAGCAAATTCTGTCTGTTATAACACTTTCGTTTCCACACGATATCTCAAGAAACGTTTGAGCTATTGCAATGAAATTTTACATAACAACTCCCTGTGGCCTAAGGAAGACCCCTATTGATTTTGAGATGAAAAGGTCAAAGTTCAAGGTCGTAAATTTATACATTCTGTCTATGTGTAACACTATCATTTCCGGGCGATATTTCAAGAAGATTTTGAGCTTATGCAATGTAATTTTATACCAAAACTCCCTAGGATCTCTCTCTCCCCTCTCAAAGTGCCCCGCCCCGTTTGTTTTATTAGTATTTATAGTATTACCTGTCGCTATTTTTAGCACAGGGGCATGCGGAGAGTTATTGCGTATTTATAAAACAGGTTCTCGGCGGACTTTATGTCGTGACTTCAGTGACTGTACACTGCTCCATGACTTTGAATATATCAGATGTAATTAATCATAGATTCCCCCTTTGACCGTTACTTCTATTATGACATGTGGGTGTGGTTGAATTAATACCCTATGACGTCAGTGACTGTAAACTCACCCTTTGACTGTGACCCACATTATGACCTGTGGGTGGAGTCTGGAAAACCCCATGACGTCATCATGACTGCAAAGTGACTGTACACTGTACTACTTACTACTGAGGTTATTAACAATTATCAGCATCCGCCACACAAATTTTAAAGGTCAAAGGTGATGTGAATTGTAATGCTGGTACTTTTTATAAAGTTTTATGACAGTACGTATACACATGTTAAATTTCATAGAATTACCCCTTAAACAAGTTGGGATTCATCCCCCGATATCAGGATTGTATCTGAAATGAGGGATAATACCTTATATGGTCATAATAAAGTCGCACCAAAGCGGTATTTTGTCGTGCATTTCAGCTTTTCCACCGGTTATTATTTCTTTGAAGACATTGGCAGCATGTCAGCTAGTGTGGTAAGTAGAACACGTTTAGATAACAAAAGTTATCTAATTCCCATTTTATGCTATCAAGTTTTGTTTACATTTATACATGTTTATAACCTCACAATTCCTTTCTTTGAAACTTTAAGATATTCAGTTATCATATTAACTTATATTTAAATATTATGAAAATACATCTGGATCCCACAACGGATCATGTAGAGTGACAATAAGTGTAAACACTTTGAAATACGTATTAACTAGTGTTGGCAAATCGGACGATTTTTAGTAACCGGTTACTCGCTCAATCTTCCGATCGAGTACCCGGGTACTCGGATGATTTATTCATATGTATCATTTACAGTCAAGGGACATAATTATTCGCCACTTCAAAATGACCGCCGAAGTTTTACAAAGCGCACCTTGATATTTAGGAGCTGTTTAAAAATTAATAAATGCCCATCTTACCTCAATACTTTGTTAAATTGCCTTTCATCTTTAATACTTCATTTAGTCTGCCGGGAATTGTCTTATACAGGGCCTCGATGTCGGAAGTTGGTATATTTTCCCAGGCAGTCCGAATCTCCGCCATCAGCTGATCTTTTGTGTTAATGAATTCGGCACGGGTTTCCAGTGTTCTTTTTAATTTTAACCAAATGTTCTCGATGATATTTAGATCAGGGGACTGGGCAGGCCATGATGTTGTAATTATATTGTTATTAGCGATGTATTCTTTTACTAAATTAGCTCTATGAACGGGAGCATTGTCGTCCATGAATACATATGCGTTATCTGGAAAATGTCTGGCTAAACCGGGCCAAAGGTTGTTGTCTAATATTTCAATATGTGGCGGACACACAAGCTGCGCACTGTACTTTTCCTCGTCTTTTTTCTTCTGGCTTTCATCACTGAACACCCATTTATTTTTTCCACTCACGAACACCCATTTATCAACAGTCCAATTTCTCCTCTCCTTGCAACATTTACAGCGAGCTTTTTTGTTGGCCTCACGAATAGCGACTTTTTTCTTGGCAACCCTTCGTTTGTACCCAAGCTCGTGAATTTTTCTTTTTATAGTTCTTGTACAAAATCTATGATTGTTTTCCTCATTTATAATACCTGTAATGTCCTCGTAAGTTCTTCGTCTGTTTTCTTTAACTACACGTGAAAGTTTGCTTTTGTCTCTGTCGGTAAACACTTTCTTCCTCCCTCTTCCTCGTCGATTTTCTACCTGTCCCGTTTCATCAAACTTTTTAACAATACTACGTATTGTTGACCTAGGGATTCCTAATATCCTCGCCAATTCTGATGTATTTCTGTTGTTTTTATATGCTTCTACAACCATATTTCTGACGGACGTATCTAATTCTTTCCCCTTGCGACCCATCTTGTTTTCAGATATATTTATCGACAAACAATATAGCAGACGACAAAAATATTGTGTACACGTCATCAATTTTTGTATTACAACACAAAGATAAAAATAGAATGGGAAAAATCTTTTGTCTAAAAATAGCGCTCAGCCATACTTTACCGAACATGCGAGAAAACGTGACGCGATTTAGGCGGAAGTGGCGAATAATTATGTCCCTTGACTGTATCTCATCTTTTACTCATCGGTTCTAATAAAACACAAAGGTATTGTGAATTTACTTTATTTAATATGTTTTACGGTGTGACCGTTGGGGCGAGCGCAGTTGTACCATCAAAAACACTTGAGATCAGCCACTTCGAACGTCAAGCCGCACGAGATTTCTCGACTAGCTGTGACGTCATACGACGTCACAAAGCTCGTCGGAGCTTACGGAGACAGCCGAGCGTCTGCTTGAAATTATAGAACTAGTGCAATTTTTGTTGTAAAACATTGCAGAGTTATTTCTTGTTTCTTTGAAAGATTTCTACAAACTGAAAGTCTGATATATGCTTTACGTTATTATTTATTTATTTATTCGGCAATATTCGCGCAAAGGACATTGGGTAGTGCAGGAATTCTGGGAATGTTGCACAGAGAAATTTGGCTGACGTATGTACAGATTTCAATCCGAATTTCCTCTGTTCTTACACGTTAGTCTATTGAGCTCGCTGCGCTCGCTATAAACTTAAAAAGAACACGCACGCAATATCTTGAATTTTAAATATAATTATAATCAAAAAATTAATTAAATCAGAAGAAAAATAAAAATTCCATGTTTCACGCTATTTTACAATTGGCGTTCATCAGTTTTAATTTTCAACCCCCCATATATGTCACGATCAAGGAGAATAATTATTTATTAATTACATTTTACAGGCGTGGAATCAGCTCTTCTTTTAAAATACTTCCAAGCTATACATGTATACGTCTCTTTGGCGGCATCTTGTTAAATTATTTAATGAGGTAATTATAACTTGGGTCTTCAAAACTTGTATAACCTGCTGGCAATCAAAGCTATCAATTAACTGTGAAAACTAATCAATCCTATTAGTGAAACCATAGATCTTAAGTCTAACGGTAAAGAAAATTAGAAAAATGTTTCTTTGTACGCTTATAAACAAATTAACATTTTATTTTTTAGTTATTTACCATATAAGATGCATTTTATCCGAGTAACCGAATAGCAATTTTCCTAACCGATACTCGCATCTTTCGACGGTTAACCGGGTACTCGTTGTCAACACTACTATTAACACATGTAAAATAGTTCATAATTATTTCTACTCATTGAATCATCTGAGGGAGGGGAATCCTTTTTTTGACAGACTCTATCGCAGTTTTATACATCTGTACTACATAATGTATGTGTGGATGTTTTTGTGTGTGTGCATTTTTTAACTTTCATGCTAGCTATTTTTTTCATGAAATAATGTACGTATTATACTACATGTAGTAGCATGTAAATAACCGACCTCTTTTAAATTTAGTTACATATTTAGAGAAGCTAAAAGCAGGCGTTACATTCTTTCCTTGGAACACTTTACTTTTGGTATGGTGTATTACTGATTCCATGTTAAAGGATAACCAGCGGACATATCTTCCATGTAAATGTCTATCTTGTCTGTTCCGGGTGGGTTGTTCTATATATAATGTACACGTTTCACTTTTTGGTCACTTCCACTCCAAACATAAAGGAAGTCGGGGGGATGGTTATATTAAAAATTGCTATGTCTGTCTGTTTTTAAGTCCTCTGTTTTTGTCGTTGGAAACAGAGGTTGGGGGAAGGGTTTTTGGGATATATTTATTTTCGTTTGATATTTCCGTATATTTTAACCAGGCAGCTTGAAAGTAACACGTCTCAGTACACCGCGCTTAAGCTCACTCAATAATCAAGAACTGTGGTCTTTGGCTCAGGTTAAATTTGATACTTTAAACATATTTTATTTAATCATAATGACAACAGACAAAGCCTGTGTAC